AATCTCAGAGGTGTATGTGCCTAGCTCAGGTTGGCAGGATGGTGCGGCACTGCTTTGCTCTGCCATAACTGACATCTAAGTTTCGAAGTGGCCCTCAAGAGTCTTGCTCCCTGCGTAGATCAGGTGCAGGAGGAAGGTTGCACTACATACAGTCACATGAGGCAGGATGTTGGCTATGCTGCTCCTCACATCCTTTGCAAAACAGAATAACACTACGGGAAGATATACAAGCTGAGGCAGACCCTGTGTTAGGTGCCAAGCTGGGGTCAGATAATGATCAGAACATGAAAGGAGAGCAAAAAGGGAATGCAGGATAAAGGGGTATGATCCATCCCTTCACCACTTATCTTTGCATTTTTTAAATGCAATGATAAGAGCCTGTCTGACAGGCAGAGCTCTGGACGAGAAAAAGGGCTCCTGTATATGTCCAAAGATGGTCTTCTGTCCAAAAACACAAATAGTCTCTTGAAGGTATGAAGGAATTGTGGCTAATTTGCTGAAAACTATTCTGCAGCTCTCAACCATTTTTCTGTTTTCACAGGCCATTGTGCTATTAGACATGGTGAATGCACTGAGCTGTGCTGGAACTTTTCCATTTGCCCTACTAATAAGCATGAACTCAACTTTCAGCTGATGCTTCTTTCTTCTGCTGCTTCTTGTGCTTAGTCTCTCTCTGCTGTAAGGGCACTGGAACTTTAAAGTTATCACCTTAAAATCACTGCCTCAGAAAGTCCTCTTATCTCTCAGAAGGGACATATTTGGAAATGCCTTGGATAGCCATGCTGATTTGATTCATGTCTGTGCTTTTATATATAGCCATGTTTTTACTGCACGAGGGAGTACTTACACATCCTTCCCAAGTGGAACCCTGTGCCCTCTGTACATATCAGTGCCATATTTGACCCCATTCTCATGTTCATCATTAATTTATTCTCATCCTTTCCTTTCCTTATACTTTTTTTCTCTCATTGTTTTTATCTCCCTCTTCTCCTTGATTCCTGCATTCTTAATCTTTTCAGCCCCCACACCTTATTCCTTTTCTACTTTTCTCTTCACCTTCACTCCTCCCAAAAATATAGGCATTCCTGGGGGTGCCCAACTACAGTCCCATTTTAAATTGTGTGTGGGTAAAGGGAAAATGGTGAGTTCAAATCACATTTTCCACCCTTACTCTTAGGCTAGTTGAAGCCCTACACAGCTCCTGGCATAAACCTTAACGTTCCTTTAACTTAGGGTTTTTTCCCCTCTGACCTTAAAGGCTATTCAGGGGGCTGAAAGTGAAGTGCAGCAGTGCTCAAACCATCCTTTTATTCTCAACTCCTATATCAGGAACTGGGTGGTATAAAGTGTCAGGTTATATGGGCTGCAAACAGACATCCCCTTTATGCTGCCATGAACATTTTTATGGCTGTACAAAACCTGGGGAAACATGTCTTAGCCTTTTGTCACATCAAAAATGCCCAAATTTGTGATGATTCTTAGTTATAGTTTGTACCACCTTCTCGTGGCCAGTGTCTGTTTGCTTATGGTGAGAGAGAGCAGGCAGGTTGTGGGCTGCCCATTCTCTCCAGCTGCCCCAGGCAGGTGCTTCTGGGGCTTCAGAGGCCCAATCCTGTGCACCCTGGAAATCCCCCTGTAGGGCAATTCTCAGGGTGCATGTCTGCAAGCACAAATATGGGAACCCAGTGGGGTTGCACACATGGAAATCCCTCTGAAGGGAATTCCCATGGCCTGCGTATCATGCTGCTGCACACTGAGTGAAGGTGCAGCATCCATAGCAATGGTCTTGCAGGATTGGGCCCTTGAAGTCTTGGAAGCATCAAGTGGCTGGCCGTACATGACAATGGTCCCAGCAATGTCTGTAGATGACAGTGAAGCAGATCAGCTGTGCCAGGACATAAACTGACACAGCTGATCCCTCTCCAAACACAAATCTTTTTTATACCTTTTGGTGTCCATGGGAGCTGCATAAATGGACTATTACTGTTACAGAGAACCAGGGGATTTGTAACTTTTAAAATTTGATAGCATATGTAATGACAATAAGAGTACCTGACATTGTCAACAGTCCTTCTTTTTAAATGGGATTAATACCAGTTGCTGAGCAGTTTTTGTTTCAGAAGCAGCTGATGCTTGGCCAGGTTTGTCAGTTGTGTGTGAGAGGATATTTCACCCTTTAGAAACATTTCTTTCCCCTTAGATCTTGTAGATATGACACTTCCAGACTTCCAGAATTGGTTCGTTTTGCAGATTCCTTTTCTGGCCTCTCCCATGAAATGACAGTGATATGGTTTCTTTCGCTTCCTTTGCAAAATACTCTATTTTAATAGTATTCCACAAACACATGTTGTGGTGCCAGACTGTTAGCAACCTGTGATCTTCACTGTGGTGTTTCTGTATCGTGTGTTACAGACTTCACATTGTTTCATCTCAAACACTGTTTCCTGTTATTTTGAATGTTGTGGATCAAAATTTGAGAGCACATGAGAGATTCATATGAATCAGACATATTTTTTAGACTGAGGCTTTTGGCCAGTCATTCGTTGGGAAAATGGTACTAAACAGGACCCTTCAGTCTACCAGATGTGCTGTTTTGGAAAATGGCTGAGTCCTTGCCAGAATGCTGTTTGTTGCCAGCTACTTCCATCATTCTATTTTGTGCTTCTAAAAAGGACTTAACCAATCATTTGTTTTGTGTTATGAAATGAATTAACCTTCAATTAATTGCCACTCCCTTTGGGATTTACCTGTATAAGTCAAACTGGTAAACCCCTAGCTATGTTTATATACACACTCACCTCAGCTTATTAAGAGACTAATCCTTGTGCATACAAATCTTTTTTTCTTCTTGCCTGTAACAGAACAGAACTGAAAATACGCAGTTCAAAATGTTAAAATGGAGCACATTTTATTAACAGTGAAGGCAGTAAATTAACTCTGCTTATAAGATGAGAGTGAACAATTTCTGCTGAACTCTTCCTGACTGCCCCTTCACAAGGATACAGTGTTTTCTAATTTCTCAGAGGGCCTTAGTTCCATTAAGGGCGAGAACTGTGTTAGAGCTGTAATGAAAGCCATACGTAGCTGAAATTCAAGGAAGGGAAATGCCCTAAATTCTATTTCAGTGGCTCATCTAGAGCTATTTTCAGTTTTATGTTTATAAGAATGTCAATTAACCTAGAGACTAGGACACACATGGAAGAATAACGATGAAGTGGATATCATTTCAGCACACTGAAGCCAGCCGCTGGCCCTAATCCCTCTTTACAGCAGCATGATTTACATAAGAAGCTAGCATGTGTTACCTAATTTAGTTTTCAAACAGCTTGGTGATTTATATGCTTTTTGCTTGAGGCATTGTGGGACAGGACTGGTCAGGGCTGCAAGAATATCAAAAGAGCAGAAGAAGCAGGTGGACTGGTAGAACACAGTACATCAGTTCAACTTCTTTGGCATCTTTCAAAACCACAGATCATTCAGCACCGGTTTGATTATATAAATAACCATCCCATAAAAATGGTAAACCCTACAATTGTTTCACATATAGAATCATATCATGCAACCAGCAATGTAAAAAGCACTACTGAGACAGGTGAGAGGTAAGGATTTCGAAGGGTGATATCTTTTATTGGATATCACCCTTCAAAAAGACTAACTGCTTAGGAGAGATTTCAGACAAGCTTTTGGGTAGAAGGTATTCTTCCTCAAGTACACACGCCTATTAGGGATGTGCGAAGCGGACCTTATTCGATTTGGATTTGGCCGGATTCAGGGGGCAGTGATTCAATTAGTTGACTCAGATCACTGTCCTGATTCAGTTTGGCCGAATCTGAGGATTGGATGCTGATTTGGAGAATCAGCAATTCAGCCATAGACACAGTTTTAAATGTTTTTACTACATACCTCAAGGTACCAGGTGTGGCTCATGAACACTGAGATGGTTGGGCAGATGGAGTGTCCTACAGGAACATAGGGGGGTCCCTGTGTGCTCGGCAGTGGACCCCTCCCTGCCTCCCCCAGCTCAGCAGTCAGCCACAGGGGGACCCCAGGTGCTCCCCCCGGGCCAGGAGGCACCAGTCACCAAGCCGGGGTGCAGTGGGGAGGGGCCCCTGCACACTCTGCAGCAGACCCAAAAGTGTTTCTGGTCCACTTCCAGGTCTGCTGCTGAGCGTGCTGTGGACCCCCCCAACACACTCCCGTGGGATGCTCTATCCACCCCACCATCTCAGTGTTCATGAGCCACCTGGTATCTTGAGGTATGTAAAAAAACATTAAAGTTGCGTCTATGTCCAAATCATCGAATGTCTCTGAATCGATCCAGCAGGTTCCATTTGATTTGGAGAGATTAGAGGGTCTCCTGATTTGATTTGGATTCGGAAATTCAGCTGCCAAATCAGGCCGAATCTACCCAATCGAATCAGTGACTGAAGCTTTGCACAGCCCTAACACTTACGCAGGTGGTCCAATAAAAGATATAACCCCCTCTTTCTCCTACATTTCCTGGACCTTCACTGCTACAACATCATTTGAACACTACTGAGATAGGTGCCAACTGAGGAGCCAGGCATGCCAGATGTTCATCTAAGTTCTGGCACCAGTTTTTTGTTGTTTTTTCTTTTTAATGGAAAGCAGTCAACATCAAACTAATCATGCTGCTACAGGAGATATTTCACCTAAGAGCACCATATTGGCCAGATGTCATTTGGCAAATATCATCTGAACTTGGGTAAAAAGAACAGTATTATATGGATCTTTAGGCATTTAAATGAGGAGCCATGCACTTACCTTTAGAAACTTTAGACAAAAAATGTTCACCGTGTCTATAGCCACCCACTGAGTATGAGCAAAAACTTATTTTTTGTGCACAAAACATACAAAGGCATCACTTGAATAATGCTTGAGTCTACTTGTGTGTTAAAAAAAGACACTGCTGTTTTTGTTTTTATGAATATTCCAGTTTCTAATGACTTGTGTTGTCTTTTCCTTGTTTTTTGCAACAGTGCTACGGGATGACTTCCGCCAAAACCCCACTGATGTTGTGGTGGCAGCTGGAGAACCAGCCATTTTGGAGTGCCAGCCTCCTCGAGGACATCCTGAGCCCACTATCTACTGGAAAAAGGACAAAATCCGCATTGATGACAGGGATGAGAGGATCAGTGTAAGTACCACTGAAATGGCCACTTAAAGATACCTCTTAACAACTCCTTCACAAATGAGATGTCTCATCAATATGAAGGTTGAGGTGTCTGTTTTACAGACTACTGAGGCAATGCTCCATTATTTCTTTAACCTTGGTACAAGAAGGAGGTGATGTAGTCAGCACCACTTGGTAAAGCTCCTGGTGCCCATGAGATAGGAGGTTGAGTAGCCTCATGGCTGTCCTGGAAGAAACAGCAATGAGTGGAAACCCATTGTTTTCACCTAGGATCAAACCCACATCCTTTCAGTCTATAGCCAGTCTCCCTTCCTGCCTGATCTAGTGGCTCTCCTCATTAACATGAAGGATAATGTAATTCCTTGTATAGCTTATTCATAATATTTGTGGATTCCCATCCTCCACATGAATCCATAGAGAATGGATCTTGTTGTCTTTGTGGATGCCCATTTGTGGTACTGGAGCCACAGGGAGGCATTGGGTGCATATGTCTCTCCTAGATCTGAATGAAGAAATAAGGACATTAAATGTTAAAATTCAAATTGGATCTATATGGGCCACAGTTTAGCACCTGCAATTCTAGAACTACAGGATTTCCAAGTCTGTTTCTCTGTCAACATGCTCAAGTGGCTATGTACTGTTTGGACACGCACATGCTTACCTGACCATAAGTCTGGGGAAAAAAGGGAAGCTACCCTCCTATACTTTATCTCCATTTGCATAATGGTTATGGTACTCACCCAGGAAGTAGGAGATACAGGTTCTAGGACTCCCTCACCTACAGAGAGTTTGTGACTTTACCTCTTGAACTTCCTGCCAGGCATCCGGCGCTGCCTGTGCGACATCGCATAGGCCCAGCCTGGCTCAGCGTGGGGCCGCATGCCTTCGGGCAGCTCTGAGCCTCTTGGGCTGTGACCCAGTGTCCAGCACCACTTGCAGGGACCGCATGTCACACCGGGCTGGGTCCTGCCTCCACAGAAGCGGCCCAGCCCAATGGTGCGTGGAGCCTGTGCACGCAAGACCCAGCCTGGCATGACAGGTGGTCCCTGCGAGTGGCACCGGGCCCAGGGTGACTAGCTGAGCTGCCTGAAGGCACATGGCTCCGCGCCAAGCTGGGTCAGGCCTATGCGATCTGGCACAGGCAGTAGAGCTGTGCAAAATTTCAGCAGCCAATTCATTTAATTTAATTTCAGATTTGGATATTTCAGCGGTTGAAACACCAAATCCTAAATGAAACACAAGGCTCCAAAACAGCTCTGAAATGAAACTGGCCATCCAAAATGTTTCAGAAATTTTATGAAATGATTTGGATGTTTCTGAAATTTTTTGGAGCTGTTTCAGGGCTGTTTCAGAGGTGGGCTTGCAGGGAAGGAGAAACTAAGAGCGGGGGGGCGGGCAGGAAGGACTGTTCTGATCTTGACATCTGTAGCTGGCCAGTGATAATGATCTGTCCCTGAGGTCCCTTCCAATTCCAATGCTCTGGGGGAAGGACACCTATCTACTTGAAACTTGGCAGGCTTTATGGCGGCATAAGGGGCTACCATCCCTTTAGTTTTCACCCTGCTGCACTTTACACGTCAGGAGTTTTGCTTGTCAGCAGTTTAAGGTGCAGTTTCCCAGAAACCCCTGCACCTAGCTCCTTGAAAGCTGGCAGGCTTCATGGCCTCAGAAGAGGCTAGCAAGTTTCATCTGAATCAGGCAAGAAATTACAACGTTATAGGCAGTTTTGTGATTCCCCATTATGGACTATGGCCGAAACACCATCAAAATTCTGAAACAGCACCGAAACAGTTTCACCAAAATGAATCACTGTCCCCCTGAAATGCTGAATTCAAAATGAAATGAAACAGCTATTTTGAACAGCCAGGGCTGAGCCATGCTACCCCACATGGCAGGGGGCTGCGCCAAGAGGGTCCAAGTACCCTGATTGCTGCTGCTGTGGGATTGGGGGTGGAGGAGCTGTGGGCCCTGTGGGGGGTGGGTTGCATGAGAACCCTGAAGTGGGGCATGAGGGCCCTGGGGGGGCACATGTAGGCTCAGTGGAGGGGCATGTGTGCTGTGTGGGGGGGAGGCATGTGCCCTGTAGGGTGGGGTCTGTGGCCCTGTTGGTGGAGCTGTGGGCCCTGAAGGGGGTGCTGTGCAGGGGTGCTGCACCCTATGGTGGGGCAAGGCACCCACCCCTCCTGAGCAATCCCCCTATACAGCCCTCCCACACCCACAGTCCCCTCACAATCCACACACAACACACAACCCCAAGCCACCCCCACAAACCCCTTACCCATACACTTGGCTACAAACTCCAAACCCCTGCACAAGCCACATACCCCTACAAACCTCACCCTCACAAACCCTACACCTACCCCCAATCACCCCCAACCCACCCCCCTCCAAATTGCTTTACACTTGTAATCAATAAAAAATTGCCCAACAGATCTCTCTATATAGAGTGGCTTTTCATTTTAATAGTGAAAGAACACTGTTTTGGGTATTTTAATGAAAAAATTTGGGTTTCTTATCAGAGTATGTGCAGTTCTTAAAAAGGGAACACCAGGATGTCTGCTGGTGAGACATGTGGTGATACTTGTGCACAGGAGCCTGTCTAGGGCCCCAGTGGGGACCAAGCTGGAGGGCAGATGAGGTCGCTGACCTCTTGGCCATTTGGCAGGTTGCTATCCTGAATCAATTAGGCCAAATTTGATTTGGAGATTCGGCTGTTGCCGAATCTCTGAATCAGCATCCAGACCCATCCCCTACCCTTCTCCTAGCCTGGCAATGGCAGCCCCGGCTCCCAGCACTTGTTAAAAAAAATAGCTCCTGTCACTGGGTGCTGCCAGATTTGGGGGGGGGGGGCGATCCCCACTGCCCCCCCACTGTCCCACACTGCATGAGCCCCCGAAACCTCCTCTCCTCCAGCCCTCCCACAGGTGCCTCACCCAGGCCAGCTCCAGCCCATTAAGGAAAAAAAGCCTGAAAACACCCTCGACTCACTGCTCCTTCCAGCAGGGGGTTATCCCTGCTGCCCCCTGCCGCCCTGCACCACATGCAGGGCTCTGAACAAGCCCCTGAATCCCCAAGGCTGCTGCAGAAGCAGTGTGTCCCAGGGCATTTTTCTGCTTTTTTTTCCTTAAAGGGCCAGAGCTGACCCTGGAGGGGCACCTGTTTGGGAACTGGGGGAGTGAGGTGGGGGTCAGGGGAC